ACAACTTACTTATTAAATAAACAATCCATTGTCCAATTTGGTAATATAAACAATGGCCCGATTTGGAAAAATGGTGACGTTGCGGCCAAAAATAGATGCGGTATCTCCACTGCCATTCTTTTCGCCAGGGACTGTATAGATCAGGATATCGCTCCAATATTTTGTTGCAGAAATTAGCACAGGCATGGGTTGAATTAAATGATTCAATTTCTGGATTGTTTTCTTGAGATAGCTTCGAACTAGATGAATCAGAAACATGAGATTCCATAGATATACTTACCTTGGTCTCGTGGTCATGAGCTGGATTATTTTGCTTTTTGGATAAGATCTTCTTGGATTGAAATGTAGGTACTTCACTTACCTCCGATTGTGAAGAATTCTTCACGGTTTTCGAAATCACATAATCTATAATATTTTGAATTTGTTGGTAACTGAGGCTTGAAACAGCATCTGTGCTATAAGATACCTGTTTAATTTTCTCTATTCCTATTGTGTTAAATAACTTATATATTTTTCTAGCTCTAAGGATTTTTTGATGCGAATTCACATTGGTGATGTCAGATAGAAGTTCTTTGATTTCTTGATATACCATAGATGTTGCAGTTTTTCTTTTAACCCCACTAATAACAACCTCATCGATTTTTTTGTCATATTTTTCTATAAAATAATACCAGTAACGTATTCCTTCTTGGCCTGATTGAATGGCTTTATAAAATATATAAACTATACTTTCTGCTGTAACTGAAGATGAGTCTTGATCTCGAAGCTGATCTGAGGCTATGGGAATAGATATAGACATTGAGAGTTGTTGTTTTAACTCCCATTCAGTAATTAGATTTTTATCCAACTTGATAATAAGATCATCTGGTAACTTGGATGTATTAACTGAAGATAAGTCTTGGGCCTGAAGCTTCTTTTCCCTATTTCTTTCTCTAATCTCATTACTAATCTGTTCACTATGTCTTTTGACTAGAAAATTATCTATTTCCTTGTCTTCCAGTGATTTAGGCTCAGAACTATTATCTATTTGTTCAGGAGCAACATCAGAATTTGAAGTATTATCAGATATATTAGATGCTGGAGTATCATTAGAATTTTTCATTTTGGTAGAGATGGTATTAGATACTGGGTATCCTGCTTCACAGACTGATCCCCTTGGCATCATCATCAGTTTGCGATTGCTTCTGTTCCAATTTTACAACCCTGGTTTTAAGTTCGATATTCTCAACTGTAAGGTTAGTGGTATCCATTTTATTTTTCCTTTCTAGTTCCTCAAATTTTTGTTTTAAGACCAGCCTTCTCTTTATCGCTTTGCTCTAGTTTCCTAATTCTAGCTTCATACTCAGCTTCATGCCTTGTGCTTTGTTTTATTATCTCTTTTAGCTTTGCATTCTCAGCCTCAACCTCAGCATACTTTTTAATTTCGGTATTCTCAGCTATAAGCTTGGAAATCTGTTCTAATGAATCATTTTTAAGATGTGGATATGTTCAAAGCAAAAGTTTGAATTAATAAAATCACGTGATAGAAAACCGTGAAGAAAATCTTCACGATCGGAGAAATTATTGATCACACATAAAATACACGAAAAAATCATGTGTGCGTGAATGATGTGTTCACACCGATCACTTTCACCAAGAAAAATCGAAATCACACTGATGGAAATATACATGAAAAAATAAGATTATATATCCACCAAGGCCAGCGATTATAAAAATTGAAAAGAATATTATACACAAAATACATTATAAAAAAATATAAAAAAACGGATTAATCCGGATAATGTACAGGGCATCCTATACATGAATTGTTATTGTTGTTATTGCTATCATTGTTATCGTCATCACCACTGCCATTGTTGTAATTATTATCTTCGAAATTATCATATGATGGTTGTCGTGATGGTTGTCGTGATGATTGTTGTGTTGATGATGATTTATTTTTCCGATGTTTTTTAGTTACATGTTCATAAATGTATTCTTTTTTTCTTTTACTGCGAAGATTATATGTTGGTGGTGGTGTTGGTGGTGGTGTTGTTGTTGTTGTTATTATTGTTGTTCCTGATGATGATGATATTGTTGTATTATTATTATCATTGTTATTATTGTTACTATTATTATCTTCACCGACATTGATGATATTACTGCTATTGCCATTATTATCATTATTGTTATTATTATTATTTTCATCATTATTACCACCACCATTATTGTTATTGTTGTTATCATTATCATTATTGTTATCATTATCATCATTATTACTATTACTACTATTATCATTATCATTAACCTGTTTTCTTTTTTTTCGTTTCATAGAACCACCAACAATGCTATTATTGTTATTATTATTGCTATTATTATCATTGTTATTATTGTCATTATTATTGTTATTGTTATCATTATTGTTGTTCTCATCATCACCATTATCATTACCAACATTATTGTCATTGTTGGCATTGTCGTTATTATTGTTATTGTTATTCTCATTGTTAATATTATCAACATCATCGTCAAGCATTAGACCATCATGTACAGGACCTTCATTAACCGAATCTTCATCCATTTCCCGGTTACTTGAATTTTGCATTTTTACTTTTTCTTGTATTCAGATACGAATAGTGAGTCAGATACAGATGGTGTAATACAAGTTCGAATCTATGATTTATCAGAATAAAAAAATCCAGTGAATATGTATATATCACAATAAAGATCATTATTTTTCGATATAATAATTTAGCATTACTTAGCTTAATCGGGATGAAAATAGAAAGCTGATCCGGTCGAGAAATTTGTACTCAATATCGACGAATACGTTAATCCGGAAAGATTAACTCATTAAATAGCACACCCCAATGGCCTTTCACACTTATAATCTCTGGTCGAACTAATACAGGAAAATCTACTGAAGTTGTTCGTCTTTTGGGCGGAAATAAACTACATAGAATGTTTAATGGTAAACAAGGAGGCACTAGATATATTAAGTGTGATGATGTCGTGCTTATTGGTCACTATCTCAAGAAGCCAAAATACATGTACCTTAAATCAGTTTTCCAAATAATTGCAAATAGTCCAGAGTCATATTGTGAAGATATTACATTTCGGGCTATGAAACCAGATAAAATTCCAAAGCTAGATTCATTCTCACCAGAAAAGAGGTACAGTGGTTATATTTGAGGATGTATGCACTGAACCAAAGAAAATTCAAGAAAAGATTATACCTTATTTTACAGAGGGGCGCCATTCCAATGTTTCTTCGATATATGTCTCACAAAGCTATTTTGACTGTCCAAAACTAATAAGAAAAAACTTAAAATATGTTGTATTGTTCAACGGCTTTTGTACCTCAGATTAGTTAAGTAGAATACTTCGTTTATATGTTAATGACTGGTGCAGTGTCTATAAAATTGTTAATAAGCATTTATGTGAACAAAAATTTATTGTCTTCGATTTAAGTGTACCTCCAGAACACCCGCATAGAATACGTGTCGGCTGGGATATGCCAATTAGTCAACTTGATGAATAGAGCGTGACTTCAGATATGCGAGACATTTTTCTGTCTCTTGTAATTGTATCTTTTGTTGTTCGATTTCACATCGCAATTTTTTATTTTCATTAACCCGCTTTCCATACTCTATAGTAATTTCTCGCATAAATTTACCAAAAGTTTTTTCATTATATTCCATTAATCTCTGAAATAAAATATCGACCTCTTTCTTAACCTGGCGATTGATTTCTTCCTTACTTGCAAAGCAAGGGCACTTATGTACCTGATCACATGTACAAATCGGAATAGTATCTTGGGTTTGGGATTCTTGGTTAGTCATTTCTGTGTTATATACACGTGATAAATTTTCAAGTGGTGATGAACTTCGACGTTGGCGTTCTTTTTTTCTATTATAAACTATAATTTCATGTTGCAAAAAATCTTCAATAGCTGGATCTATACCACATGCTTCTAGTAGTGTAAAAGGATTGCGTTTTCGAGTAGTAAGGCGTCTCCATGCTTCTTCCACTAATGAGGGAGGTAGTTGCTGTATCAGATATGTATATGCTTGATTGAATTTCATTTGTATATACCCCGGAAAAAATTCTGTTGAATTCTATAGAATTTGAAAAAAAATGTAAAGTAGTTAAAAATTCAACCGTTAATCGCATATTGACAACACACCATTATTATATAATCATTAGTATAATGATAACAAACAAAAAATAGCCTTTAACCATCACGAAACAGCAATAAATAAAAGTTTAAAGTACTAACCCTCAAGAATACTTTAGATGTGTATAATAATTAATATATTTACGCTTCTATTTCTAAAAGTCGCTTTTGGAATCTAGTCCACAATTGACTCTTTTTAGAATCTATCCAATTATATGGAATATAATATTCTTCATATTGTCTATTAATAATGGAACTGCGCATCATGGGATCGTTTTTATATAATTCAATCCATTTAGTACGCCACTGATTAAATTGTTCTCGAGTCTGAGGATTTTTTATTTTATGTTGAGTTAAACCTAAAAATTTCTTATCATCTGGAGTATTATCATTCGGTAAGCTATTCCATGCAAGCTGTGCATTCGATGGCTCTTTCTCTTGAAATCGTCTCCAAGCTCTTTGAATAATCCTTGCATGTCCATCTCAAGATTTAGGTTTATCACACTCATGATCCCAATGTTTCTGCATCAAATCATCTGGCTTGATAATTTCGATATACCTTTTTCTGGTAAAATAGAATGATTTCTTTGGTTTTACATTATCAATATGAATAAGTTTCATACAATCTAGACATATCGCTACATTGGCTTTATGGATTCTAGGCCTGTAGTAATCATGATTAATTGGCTTAGAATTTCCAAATCCCCCAAATAAACAATGTACATGATATACACTTCTTTTCTTTTCAGAAACCAGCTCTTGTAGAGGAATTCTGACCCGAATAGCCCATTGTTGTGGAGTTTCATTGGGTCGAATAACTGATAAAGTATCATATTGTCTTTCAGTCTCATAAAGATCATCAAAGTATCGTTGATAATCATTAATTCCACAATAATTGTAGATATATGACTCTACATATTTCATATCATATCCAGGACAATTATTAATGAGCTTCACCAATTTGGCTTTTTTATCAATAATAGTTGTAATAGTAAGACCTGACATAATTGGTGATTTATATCGAATTTAGGGATTTGCTGAAAGCAGTCACTTCGTGGCTAGACCTATTAGATTTGGTTCTTTATAGTATAAGAATATATGATTCAATTTTAATGAGATTGGATTGTTAGACTATTTCTTAGATCTAGATAAGAACGCTTGAAATAATAGAGAGATGTTTACAATCGTGATATTCTATGAAATGAAAATGGGCATTAACAATCTTGTAAATAAAACAAATTTTTTAATTGTTACTCAATGGATGAAACATACTCGTGATTCAAAAATGATTCTATTAAGGGGTTAATGGTACTAGCGTCCTCTTCTGTTATTGGATTTCGCTTTCTAGAAATAAGACGTTTCCAAGCTTCATTTTCTAGTGAAGGAGGTAGTTTCCCGATTAATTCTGAATATGCTTGATTAAATTTTGTCAGCATGTTGTGGCTAATGTAATTATATTCAACATATAGAAAAATGAAAGAACCTTTATAAAAAAATATGAAAAATATGAAAATTATCCAAAACCGGAGTTTAAATGTGGTTGAATCATGCTAGAGTCGAGCTAGAGTCACGCTAGATTTTTTCTATATACAGTGTGATTCAAAAAAAATGGTGGTTTGTAAAATATTGTTTTTAATGAAAAAGTAGCCAAAATTATGTAATAAA